GTTAGGAAGAAGGATGGAAAACTCCGGCTTTGCGTGGACTACCATCTCCTGAATAAAAAGACACCCATTATCTAGAATACAGGAGTTAACTGACACGCTTGGAGAATATTCTTGGTTTAGTATCTTGGACCAGGGTAAAGCTTACCACCAGAGCTTTATTGCTGTCCAGACATGTGACTGCATTCAATACACCTTGGGGGATGTATGAGTGGGTCCGGATTCCATTCGGCCTGTCAAACGCACCTGCTGCTTTTCAACGTAGCATGGAGGAGATGCTTGATTCATTGAGGGATGAATGCTGTATACCATACCTAGATGATGTCCTGTGTTATGCAAAGTCCTTTGTCAAACACGTTAAAAGACTCAGCAGAGTATTAAGAGCCCTTCAGTGCCACGGGGTGAAGTTGAAACCCGAAAAATGTGAGATGTTTCGGAGATGTCAGATATGTGGGGCACCTGGTGTCATCTGAAGGTGTGCGTGTGGATCCAAGGGACCTAGAATCTGTACAATCTCTGACTTACAAGACTCCTCAGACAGTGGGGGACGTACGAAGACAACTGGGTTTCCTCAGCTATTACCGAACATTTATTCAGGCCTTCTCCAGAGTCGCAAAACCCCTATATGAATTGCTGCAGAAAAAAACAGGGACTGACCAACATGCGCTCACCTGGAGGAAAGCTAAAGGACCACAAGTCTCCTTAAAGACTCCAGTGGAGTGGACCAGAGAGCACCAACAGACCCTGTAGAGGCTAACTGGTATGCTAAAAGAACCACCAGTGTTGGCATATCCAGATTTCAACCTACCATTAACACTCCATACTGATGCATCAGAAGAGGGCCTGGGAGCTATCTTGTACCAGTGAAAGGAGGGTAAGTTGAGGGTTATCAAATATGGATCAAGAACACTGACGACCGCTGAGAAGAACTATCGGTTACACAGTGGCAAACTTGAGTTCGCATTTAAGTGGGCGGTATGCGAAAAACTTAGGGACTACCTGTTTTATGCACCAAACTTCGCTGTATATACTGATAATAACCCGTTGACGTATGTGATGTGCACAGCAAAGTTGAATGCAGTGGGCCATCGCTGGGTTGGGGAGCTATCTGACTTCCGGTTTAACATCAAATACCGGCCAGGCAGAGCCAACATCGATGCAGACACGTTGTCCCGTCTGCCCCTGGACATCGAAGCATTTGAGTCAGAGTGCACAGAAGAGTTACCTACCAGCGTAGTACAGACTGCTTGGGAGGGTAGTCGTGTGTCAGGAGATAAAGATGTGGCCTGGATCGCTGCTTTGTATATGTCGACTGCAAAAGAGGAACTACAGCCATTGACCACTTACCTGCCGACAGTTGGTTTGGAGGAACTGGTTGCAGCCCAACAAGAGGACCCAGTGATTTATCAAGTATGACAGTGGAAAGCCGATGGGGTCATGCCAACAGAGGAAACGAGAAGAAGCCTGACAGGAACCAGTAGGAAGCTTATGTATGAATGGAATAGGCTGCATCTGGAAGGGGGGCTTCTCCATCGAGGAACAAAAGAGAGAAAACAGTTAGTTTTACCAAGCAAGTATAGGAAGTTGGCCTTGGAGCACCTCCATGACAGGATTGGACATGTGGGAACAGAGAGAGTACTCAGCTTGGCGAGGGATCGGTTCTACTGCCCATACATGAAACTGAGATAGATGGGTATGTGACCAGGAGGTGTTCCGCATAAAGGACAAGAAACCTACCACACATGTCCAAGCGCCGATGGGCAGTATTACAACACACTCACCTATGGAACTGGTGTGTATCGACTACCTTGATTTGGAGCCGAGCCGAGGAGGGTATGAATATATCGTTGTAGTCATGGACCATTTCACCAGGTTCGCTCAAGCGTATCCAACCAAAAACAAATCAGGACGTACTGCAGCAGAGCGGTTGTTTCAAGACTACATCCCCCGCTTTGGATACCCAGCCAAATTACACCATGACCAGGGGAGAAAATTTTAAAATTAATTGTTCCAGAATCTTAGACAACTTGATGGCATTGGTCACTCCTGTACCACCCCATATCATCCCCAAGGAAACCCTGTGGAACGATTTAACCGGACCCTCTTGCAGATGCTGAGAACACTGACAGACAGGGAAAAAGAGAGATGGAAGAACTACTTGCCTCAAGTTGTACATGCCTACAACTGCTCACGGCATGAGTCTACGGGGTACTCTCCATTCTACCTGTTGTATGGACGGCATCCTCGCCTTCCATTGGATCTGATCTTTGGTCTTTTGGAGCCAGAAGAAGAACCAACTCCAAAGGGGTATGCAGAACAGTGGGCCCAGAGAATGACAGAAGCATACAAGACTGCAGAAAGTCATAATCGTCAGTCAAGCGCAAGGGGGAAAGCTCAGTACGAATGTAAAGAGAGAGGAGTTGTGCTGAAGGCAGGAGATAAAAGTACTCGTCAGGAACCTCGGAGAACGGGAAGGCCCAGGAAAGCTGAGATCCTACTGGGAAAAAGCTGTATATGTATATATATACATAGTATATCGGGAGAACGGTAACAGCAGAAAGACCAGGGCGCTACATCGAAATCTGTTGTTACTGGTGAATGACTTACCTGTGGAAGCTCCAGCGACGAAACCTGCATCCATGGGACCTGAAGGAAAGAAAAAGTCAGAGACATACAAACAGCAACAATGTCGACAATGAAGATAGTGATATGCCAGACTCTGATGAAGAGAGCAGTGTAAAAGGATAATGGTTGAAGACTCCAGTCAGCTTGTCATCAACAGCGAACAATCAACTTCTGGGGAGAATGCCTGTAGGGCAGTGGTCTCAAACTCAATTCCTGGAGGGCCACAGCTCTGCAGAGTTTAGCTCCAACCAGCTCCAAATCACACCTGCTTGGAAGTTTTTAGTGATCCTAAAGACCTTGATTAGCTGGATCAGGTGTGTTCCAGCCTACATCAGCCTACAATTCACCCCAACACCACACTAAACTCAATCACTGCTTATCCCATTCCACATGTGCCCGTTTGGGGTTCGTACAGTTATAGCATGCCCCTCATTTGCCCTCTCTTATACTTACCTCAAGTACACACACCTTGTGGGGTTACAACGGCTGTTTATTAAGACTGGGTAATGTTTGGTCAAGAGGAAGGTTGGTTTTCTTTTTTTTTTGTCAGGGAGAGTGTGGTACCCACAGAAAGTGTGTACATGATTTTATAAACATTCATGAATTCCTTCATTTTTTTTATATGAACAAAGGGGAAAAAAAGACCTTTTTCTATGAATAATTTGAGCAGAGACTCTTATTTTAAAATGGGAAGATTGCATTTAGGGGCCGTCTTCACAGCAACTCCTAAAACAAACAGAGGAGCTGGCAGAGAGCAGACGTGATTCCCGTTTCTCTTCTTTGTTTCCTGTATTTAAAGTAATCTGTCCCCGGGTCTCCGGAGGTTGGACCTGCAACTTAATAGTGATTTTATACAAGTTTAATAAAGTTAACTTTAAATGACTTACATTTTAGACACAATATTGCCTGTTTTTTATCAATTTTGCCAACGAAAATAGTTCCAAAGATCACAGTACCGTTTTGCGTCTTTGAACAACACACAGGACGGTGTTTCCTTACTGAATGAATCAGCTTTTTTAACAAATCAGTTGAATGAATGATTCAGTGGCTCTCAAACCTGTCCTGGAGGACCCCTAGCCCTGTACATTTTTTATGTCTCCCTTATCTATGGTTCCTTTATCTAACACACCTGATTCAACTCATCAGCTCGTTAGTAGAGAGACATACAAAATGTGCAGGGCTAGGGGTCCTCCAGGACCGGTTTGAGAACCCCTGCCTTAAAGGATAAGTTCACTTCCAGAATAAAAATGTCCTGATAATTAAGAAATTAAATTAAGTTTTTTGAGGAAAACATTCCAGGAATTTTCTCCATATAGTGCACTTCAATGGTGCTAACGATTTCAATGTCAAAAATGCAGTTTCAATGCAGCTTCAAAGGTCTCTACACGATCTCATCTGAGGAATAAGGGTCTTATCTAGTGAAACAATCAGTCATTTTCTTTAAAAAAATTTATTAACACACTTTTAAACCACAAATGCTCGGCTAGCATTAGCTCTGTAATGCGCATGCTTGTCTTTATTAGGTGATATTGGAAAGGTCATGCGGAAGTACCGACCCAGTGTTTACGAAGCGAACATGCGAAGCGAAAAAGTCAAATGCCCTTTACAAAAAAGGTAAAACAACAATGCCGGATGATTTTAAAGTTGGAGGAGAAAATGATATGGCGTTTTTTACAGAAGTACAAAGACGAAGAACTAACCGGCCATGACCTTTCCAACAGGATTACGTAATGTGTGACGACGCGCATCGCAGAGCAAGCCAAGCATCTGTGGTTAAAATTACCAATTATTTCGCTAGATAAGACCCGTATTCCTCGGCTGAGATCGTGTAGAGCCCTTTGAAGCTGCATTGAAACTGCATTATTTGCCTTGAAATCGTTGGCCATCATTGGAAGTCCACTATATGGAGAAAATTCCTGGAATGAAAGAAAGAAAAACATGATCATCTTGGATGACATGGGGGTGAGTAAATTATCAGGAAATTTTTATTCTGGAAGTGGACTTATTCTTTAACAAAGTCAAATGCTTCGTTCCTGGATGAATCAGCTGTTTGAAGTAATCGTTTGATTCCTGGACACGTAGTTATAATTCATAGGCAGGGATTGCGTTAATTGTGAATGAGCGTGCATGCACGCTCTGTTTACGAATGACTCAAATTCATTAGCATACATGTTTAACTATCAAATCTGATGTTTGCGAAACGTTTCTGAATCCTTTAAGGTTTATCTTTCCATTAGAGAACATGTAACTGCCATATGAACATCCAACTCATTTGCACTCATTAATCACTTTATCAATTCTTTTATCTGGAAACATATGTTTACCTAATAATTGAAATCAAATAACACAGTGCAGAGTTCATTATAAGTTTATGTCCTTTTATTTCTAACAAAAATTAGTTGAAGAAGTGGACAAAGTGGACAATCAGATGTAGCTCACATTCAGCTGTGGTGTGAACAGAGCCTTAATTTCACACACACACGTATATATTTTCTTTTGCTTTACTATTTCACAAAGAACACAATTTATATGTCTTTTCATATGCATCTGTTAAGTGTGACGGCAAAAGAAAAAAATGTTATACTGATCACAACTGAACTGATGTTGTTCAGAATGAATGCATATGGCTCAGTTTTGTAAATCAACTTCTAAAAACAAATGTATAGCTGTCCTTGTAAAGAAATATGCAGCTTTGGAGCCGCTGCTGTGACGCTGTACAAACTCTTCCGTTGTGAATACTCTCACAAGTCTGCAGCTGCAGTGACGCTGACGTGAAGCTCACGCTTGCGGCGTGCATAAGTCTGTAAATGATGTTTCAGGCCTGAGTGATACATGAAAGTCTTCTCACACTGAAGACACTTGTAAGGCCTCTCTCCAGTGTGAGCTCTTATGTGAATCTTCAGGTTTCCTTTGTACGGGAAACTCTTTCCACACTGAGGGCAGATGAATGGCTTCTCTCCAGTGTGAACTCTTACATGATTCTCAAGATTTGCTTTGTTTGCGGAAGTCTTTCCACAGTGATCGCACATGAAAGGCTTCTCTCCAGCGTGAGTTTTTACATGATTCTTAAGGCATATCCTGTCTTCAAAGCTCCTTCTACACTGATGACATATAAAACCGTTCACTCTTGTGTGAATAGAATGGTTAAGGTTTTCTTTAAATCTAATAGTATGATATTGCATGTGGACATTAAGGTTTTTTTTGTGTGTGTAACTCTTTTCACACTGAGAGCAGGAGAAAGGTCTCTCTCCAGTGTGAGTTCTCATGTGAGTTTTAAGATTTCCTTTTTGTGAGAAACTCTTCCCACACAGTTTGCAGGTGTATGGGCACCGTCTAGTGTGAATACTCATGTGGGCATTAAGGTGTTTTTTCTGTGTAAAACTCTTTCCACACTGAGAGCAGGAGAAAGGTCTCTCTCCAGTGTGAACACTCATGTGGGCATCAAGGTTTCTTCTGTCGGAGAATCTCTTTTCACACTGTTGGCAGGCGAAAGGCTTCACTCCGGTGTGAATTTTCATGTGCCTGTTAAGAGTTTTTTTGTGATTGAAACTTCTTCCACACTGTTGGCAAGTGAAAAGCTTAACTCCGGTGTGAATTTTCATGTGCCTGTTAAGAGTTTTTTTGTGAATGAAACTTCTTCCACACTGTTGGCAAGTGAAAGGGCTCTTTCCAGATTGAACGTTCATGTGGCCTGTAATGTTTCTAGTTCCTTCGTTTTGTGAGGACGTCCTTTCAATCTTTGAGTCGCTAAAATCTTTTTCTCCAGTCATGAACTGATGAGGTTTCTCATATTGATATTCTTCTTCCATATCATTGAGATCTTGACTCTCCTCTTTCAGTGGCATCAGGTCTAAAGCGGAAAGAAACATATACAATTTAACCCCGGTTTAATAGCACATAGCAACAAACAAACAAAAAAAAATTAGACATGTAAAGCATCAAACACAACCACGTGTATGCTAGATACCCACAAAGTGACTGTAACCTGTAATCTCAGAACCTTATATTATATATTGTTAAGTCTTTGTTTTCTTTTGGACACGTCCCAAATTCTTTCAAGCTGGTAGTCATCAAAGGCCCTTATAAAATAAAACAAAAAAAAACAATAGGGGACTGCTTTGGGACTAGGATCCTGTGGGTCTCGACTAGGGTTGCCAACCGTCCCGTATTTTGGGCCTAATTGATTTGTCCCGTACGTGACTTCCCTTGTCCCGTTTTTTGACTGCTACGCTGATCTAACCACTGACTGATACAACAGCAGCAGTGCTGATCACTTGAGAATGATCACCGATACCTCTCATCATCCAATCACAGCCCCCCTCGCGCAGTATACGTTAAGTAAATCAGAAATTGTGAACATAACTATTCCGAGGAAGGCTGCGGAATCCTCTGCCGGCTCGTCGCTCCCGCCTCACAGCAAGCGGTGCTCGCGCTAACGCCAATTCTGTCTGTGTTTTCAGTTCAGTAAATCAGTTTTGGTGAATACAAACTACGTGTTTATTTCCAACATCCAACATCCTGCCGCGCAAGAGACGTGATCAGTAAGGGAAGTTGTCTTTCACTATTGTAATGTTGTTAAATAAATATAATAAAATGTTTTTCTCTAAGTAACTAATAGCATATTTCTTAACTTGGACCTTATTCTTGAAACACAAAATGACCAATAAAAAGGTGTCAAGCACCAAAAGCAGCCCATATTAAATTTCTAAGCTGTCTTTAATTGAAAAATACGTATTTTCATGCATACTATATATGTGTGTGTGTGTGTGTGTATACACGGCCAACATTCAATTCAATTGTATTTTGTTTTCGTTTGTATTGTATTGTATTTCTTTGGAATTGTGTTTTCATTTTGTTTGTTTGGTTTATTGTAATGGCATTGAGCAATGTGCAACAATTCCCTTAAAAGTTTACCACAGAAGTGTGCTGATTGTAGTGTATCACTTGAAGGTGATTAACTAATTTATGGTGTGATTACCTGCTTGTGTATCGGCAGTGCTTAATTTGTAAATGAAATATTGCCGGATCAAAATCAGCAGTTAAAAGGCACCGTGAGATGCCCTTTGCCAATAGTGTTGACAGGAGGATCTGGAGGTTAACCGTGTCAAAAGCATCATCGATTAAAATCGAGTGAAATGTTTTATGTCTGTGATTCTGGGGTGCATTTCCCATACATAAACTAAAATACAAAACTACATAAAAGTTATAATAGATAAATGAAATGTGCACTGTTTTTATTTTTACATGATTCCCAATTATTTATATTTCCAATTTCTAATATTTGTACAGGCTTTACATTTTTATTTCAATGTAGTAATTAGCAATTCATTTAATTTTACATTTGAACAGATTTGTTACGTGACAGCATTAATTAAAGTTTCTTAAGGGTCAAGATCAAGTTATCT